GCATTCAAACCAGCATCCGATCCATCTAATGCTCTGTACAACGTGCAGATACGGTAGTCTCTTATCCTGATCCCCGATCTATATGTGCCGGCCGCGGATGGGCTGGCTGGTGAGGAGAAGCCATGCAGGCGTTGCATCCAGGCTGGGCACTTTAACGTGGACGGAGCGGCGATGGCCAGCTTCCGGCAATCCGGCTTACAGCGCGTTCGTTGACTTGGCTCGGCCTGCTCCTGCAGCCCTGCATCCGTCTGCCGAACTGCTCTTGCACGCGTCCAATATCCGCCGATCCCTGCAACTGGTGTCTCTCGGATTTTCACCGTGAAAGTGAAATGAGCGCAAAGAAAAAGTGATCTAACATCTATTCTGCAAGTCTGTCTGCAAGTCTGTCTGCAAGTCTGTCCTCAATGCGTCTCGCCCTATGCAGTTTCTCCGTCACCATGCGGGAAGACGTTGGTTGACGACAAACATCACTGCATCTCCTGCATACATCGACACACCGGAAACGGGCAAGGAGATTGAAGACTACCATTACTTCCGCGGAGCCTGGGTGGGATATCGGGCGATCGGACACGAAACTGGAAAAATCAAAAAGAGGCGTGCGGCAAGGATCGGCACCACAGAGAGCGGGCCAGTCCAGCATTCGAGGCGGCGTTGCAGTGCGTGAAGCTCCAGACAGGCAACGGCGCAGCTCGGCAAATGCGCATACTAGTGCGAAGAAAAAGCAGAAACGAAAAGAGCCGGCCAAAGAAGAACATGACGAAAGACAGGGTGTAAAGGAAGATATCGAGCATCAACCGAGCGCGGGCGGAATCGCGATTCGGAAGTGTGGTCTCTGGAGGGAATCTGGCAGACCACGACAACACCAGATCTGCATCAAGCAGTCAGACGTGCCTGGTCGCGATCCGCGCAACGGGGAGAAGTGCTAGGTGCAGACGAGAGAAAGGTTGCAGAGACATCGAGACAGGAGAGAGAGCAGTAGAGTGCCTCTAGTCGGAAGCAGACAAACGCGACAAGAGTAAACAACAGGAACCAGGAGCTTGTTGCGCTTGCATGCAGCACAGCCGCAGCAATGCTTGAAAGACTCACTAAGTCGCAACCAGGAGCAGTGGAGAGAAAGACAAGATCGTGACAAGATTCCGTGAGCGAAGAGGGAGGAAGGCAAGGACACATTTAAGTGCCCGCGTGACGACCCGGCACTGCGGTGAGTAGGGTATCGGCAGCATGGCCACAACTGCACGGCGTCGACAACTGTGCTTAGCGAGACTGGTTACCGTGGTCGATCATCTCGTTGTAGCCAACAACCTCTTCCTCGTTGAGCGACGATCCTGCGACACTCGAGTGAGCCCGGTGACCAGCAGCTGCGTCAGGCGTGTAGAGTGATCGCATGCCCGAGCTCTGGCCTGACGGCGTCGATGCCGCGCCGCCAGCCCGAAGAGATGCGTAGTGCTTCATCGCCTCGTCGGGCGACCCAAAGTTGGATGGCGGTGCCATGCCCGTTTGCGCGCTGCCGGAGCCGGATCGGTCGAGCTGCGTCAAAGTGCCGTTGCCCGAGTGCTGATAGTGCACATGATCAATGTACGATTCCTGGCTCAGCTCCGAGTTGGGTCGTTCGGCCGCGGTACCTCCAAACATGTCACGGCCGTCGCTCTCCTCGCGTCCAGACTGCATCATGCTAAGCGCCGGATACGTGAGCATCGAGTTTCGAAGACCCGCATCCAGGCTCTCGCGCATGCGCTCAACGTCGCCAGCGCCAAGGGGACGAGGGCCGTCATTCTGAGTGGGGCTCATCAGCATCTCGTCGTCCTCGTCGGGATATCGCATCTCCTCGGATTCGGCGTAGACGAGGCCGGGGCTGCGGCGGTTGTCCTGGCTGCCGCGGTAGCGAGCATCGACTTCAGGCACGGCAGGGGCGTCAGGGTCATAGTACGAGTCGACAAGCTGCGATCGACGGCCGACCGAGTTGGCGCCGATGCGAGGAAGGTTGTTGGAAGGACGGCCGTGAAGGTCGCTCGAATTGGCGTAGCTGATGCGCGAAACACGGTCGCCCCTCGTCGTGTCGGCAAACGAAATACGTGACGTGCGGTTGCCCTCGTCGTAGATCGACATACCGCGCGGCCGCGCCTCTCGCATCTCGTCATCATCAGCCATTGCGGCGGTGATGTCCTCCATGTGACGTGGGATGCGTGTACCGGTGCCGCGGCCGGCGAAGTTGCTCATTCCGCCGTCCATGTCGCGCGAGGGACGCGAGAGATACGAAGCAGGTCGCGTACCAGCTACAGGGCCCGCCGAGCCGTCTCCACCCGCGGTCCAGTCGACCGAAATGCGGCTCATGCGCTTGTCCATGTGCTCGGCCCAGTCGACGGTCTTGTTGTGTCGCTTGATGTGGAGACGTCGGATGAGCAGACCCATGACAACAGCGAACACGACGAGTGGGCACACGATGGCGGCCGTCTTACCGGCGGGAGTCAGCTCTCCGGCCTTGAAGAAGGCTGTCTTGACCGAACTAGTGAGCTTGCCAAATATCTTTTCGGCGTTACCCTGGGGTGGGACTACGTAATTGGCGGTGAAGGTGGGACCCATAGGGTTGGAGCTGTCCCAAGGCTCGTTGCCGGAGGGGACAATGTTGAACGAGACATCGACGGACGAGTTGGACTTGAGATCCCGTCCCCACCATCGTGGATCGAGCTTCTGGGTATAGACGCCCTCACCCTTGGGAATGTCCTGAAACACGTGAATGGGGAGGTAGCGGTTCTCTTCCGAGGGCGAATAGACGTAAATGTCAATTTTACTGGTGGAGCTGTCGAGACAAGCCGAGTTCCAGCGTATCTCGGTCGAGTTGACGACGCTGACCTGTGCTCCCGACGCGGGAGCAACATACAGGCCACCTGCAAGACAGTCGGCGGTATTATCGATGGTGGACGACGACTGGCGCTTGCTGAGCAGGCTCTCTGAATGTGCCACCTTGCGTTGCGCCAGGCGTTGATGATGGTGAAGGAGCTGGCGCGTCTGGATGGTCATGTTGTACGACAGTCCTTGTAGTCGATCAGATGGAGCAGTGCGTAATGTAGAGGTTGATGTGGTAGACGAGGCAATCAGGTCGATCCGTCGATATCGTGCAGGATCAGAAACGAGTGTAGGTAGCTAAGAGAGCTGGAATTGTTGCGAAGGCTAAAGTGCGCCTCGTGGTGAGCAGATAGACGACTGGGAAGAAGGATCAGGAATGAATGTACGGGCCGTTGGTGTCTGGCCGGGAGGGGAGAATTCAGATCGAGAGGAAAGGGGCGAGGTTGGAGGGGAGTGGGACGCGCAGAGGCGGTCAGGCCTTAGGGGAAGGGGAAAAGAGGGACTTGTCGAAAACGGCGTAGACGACGATGGCGGTGATGGTGGCAGGAACGATCGTGACTAGACGCTTCGACGACGATGAACACGCCAATTAGCGGGTGGCTCACGAGGCTGTGGCTCGGAAAAGGGGGGGGGGGGGAAAGAAACGGATCGAGTGACTCCCATGAGCATAGAGGAAGGGCGGATAACAAGAGGGTAGGACCAATGTCTAAGGTATCACGACACGACACGGCACGTCAGGAGGCATACAGGTACTGTACAGGCAAGACGTACATCGACAGAGACGCAGAGGGAGAGCAGCGTGAAATCAAAGCGCTCAATGGGCACAGACGACTGGACAGGGAAGGAGAGGAAAAAGAGAAACGGGCGGGCTGCTGGCATCGAAGTGCAGCGGTTCGTTCACCCTCTGTCGGCTGGGGCTCCCATTCGAGAACTTGTCGACCTACCCTTTGTTGCCTCTGTCGAATATGTTTCGGTGCAGCAGCGAGCGGGGAGTCGCGATCATCTACACACAGGCGACGGTCGATTGGCAGAGCTGCCATAGGCGTAGGAATGACGCGGTGCTGGCACCAGACGTGCGGGTGCTGGCACGCTGTATCTCGCACTGGCACATTTGCACCTGTTACAGTACAGCAACATGGACAGACATGCATCGGCACCTGGTCGGTCATTGTCAACAAGCTCGGGCGGAGTTCAGCAGACTTGCGGAGGCAAATCCAAGTGAAGCCGATCGAATTTGCAGAGGTAGAGCCGCAAGAGGCGGGATGCGCGGTGCGGGAACAGCAGAAATCAAGATACGTTGTATCTATTTGATGCGCAGCTGTTGGTCTCGGTCGTACTGCAGGAGGGCAACAGGCAAGTACTGTAGGCGAATGCCAGCGTCAGAGGATCGACAGGGTCGCCAGCTGCCAGTCTTGGCCGTCGGAGTGCACCGCGCTGGTTGTCCCGGTTGGTTGCCGAGGTGTGGTGGTGTCAAATTGATCTGCGACCAACAGGTGCTCTGATCCTGTGCTTGGTGCCCCCCCGGGGGGTTGGGGGGGAAGGGGGGCGTGCCAGACGCGCCAATTGCCAAGCCGAACGCGCGTCGCTGCAGAAAGAATTTCTTTGTGCAGTAACATTCCAGCCCTTGGCAGTCCAAAGCGCGGAGGAGCGCAGGTCCCAAGCCACTCGAACAGCAAGCTCCAAGACTCAACTGGCCCTGCCTGTGGCACACCCGGGTCGCTAGGCTCGGACTACCGAGACAACAATGCGCGCAGACAAAAGGAACAAGCTAGTCTTGCTGGCACTCGACAAACGAACCGTCTGCAACTCGGCATTTGTCCTATCCCTGTCCGCTGGTCTCCTCTTCGAACGAAAAGCGACGGCATGAGAAAACTTCCACACTCTTGTGGAGCAGCGAGGTTCAATAGCTGCTTGCCTTCTTGGCGGGGTCCATTCAAACTTAGACAAGCCGTTGCTGATAACAGTACCGTACTGTCCTTTTGGTAGTGTTAGAGCATGCAAAATTCTGGTTCTGCCTTCCGTCTCTGGCACTGCCATGTCTTCAATCGATTCCGCAGCTTTCCTCGGGTGCTTGTCTGGTCTCGGTGCCTTGTCCCGCAAGGATGGTATTCACAACAATATATGATTTTACTCGGAGCTGTAAATCCATATCATTGGGGGGTTTAGCTCAGTTGGTAGAGCGTTCGCTTAGCATGTCTGCTAAACTGCGAAAGGTCGCGTGTTCGACTCATGCAGTCTCCATAGGCTTATTTTTGGTGTTTCTAATTGCAATCTCCGCAGTTTTGCGGTCTTTTTCTAGTTCTCGCACACAAGCTATCCACCGTTCGACATAAATTCCAGCTCCAAAATCCTCTGTGAGGTACGAGACCCGAAGTACCCAGTTGTACGTCGTGTTTCAACGCATATGATTTATAGTCACAGAAGGCAGTGTTTCAACGCATATGATTTATAGTCACAGAAGGCAGTGTAGAATGTACACCAAGATTCGCTGGATAAGTAGGGTATCAGGTACGAGCATGAGACTTTTGTGTGACCTTGCGTGCCCGGTCCTGGAAAGCGCCCATCATCTGAGCGCTCATCTTTTCAAAGACGCCTCCGGCAACAGCGCCATAGACGGGATTGCGGAAGGCGTACGTGAGACTGAACTCGACCTTGGTGCGCGGCTGCTGATGTTGCGCAGATGTAACACCTTCAGGCACGAAGGTCCAACTGGTTGATAAAAATGAGAACACCGGATTAGGCTGGACAGCCTCGGCGACCACGGATCGACGCCCCGTCTGAGCGTTCTGGTGCGCCGTCACGAGCGAGGTGTAGGTCTCGGTAAATTTTCCGAATCCAACGGTGAGGTCCGCAAACACCGAATCTGGCGAAGGCGGCGGCGGCTGCGACAGGACGCGCGAGTCCTGGCAGTAGGGTACGAACTCCTTGTACGCATTCACATCGGCAACGACGGCAAAAAGAACATCGGCGGAGTACGGCAGCGTTCTGTCAGCCTCGTACACTGCTCTTCCTTGCGCATCGGCATACGACCTACTTGCAGCCTCGTTTGCCTTGTCCGACGAAGATGAAGCTGACGACGGTGACAGGGCGCTCGACGCAAGTTTATTCAAGTCCGGCAGACCGAAGAACGAGCGTGCCTGCGACGTCTGGAGCTGCGACGTCCAGGGCGTTGAATGCGGACGTCGGACAATTACGCGGCTGCTAAGACTTCGCTGCTGGCCCAGTGGAGGTGGAGGATGGCGCGAGGCGCTCGCATGCGGGCGGTGCGGCGAAGAGTGAAGCGTCTGCGTTGGGAAGGGTCGGCTCCCCTGGACGCTAGCAGTGGTCTTGGTGTCGGAGATGGATTCTTTGAGGGAGGCCTCATCACGCCAGCCTGCCAAACGACGAATATTGTAGACGTCGACCGGCCCGACTACGCTGGAATCTGCGATGGCGGCGCAGACGGCCTTGGCCACAGTGTCAATGTGTAGTGGTGGGGTGGTCAGCAGCCTTGCGATGGGCTGCAAGCTCTCACCACCGAATCGAGCTAGTAGCTGCGCCGGGGTCGGTATCGGTAGCGGCAGCGGCGGCTTGCGATGGAGAGCCGCCGACGCCTCCAGAATGGCTGCGGGCAACGTCGAAGCTGGACGATTGTGCGGGTGGTACATGAGACCTGGCCGCATGAAGACTGGTCGCAAGAGTGGAGTGCCGTGGTGTCCGTATTGGTCGCCCTGACTTTTGCGTTCAAGACTGGCTTCGTCTCGAATTTCGCCAGCGAGTCCAGCGCCGTCGGCGTCGAGAATATCCTCGTCTGCGTTGATAGCTGCTCCCTTGGGGCGCACAGAGACTGGATAGCCGAATTGGGAAGCAAGGCGCGAGATCATGGCCTCTGCCTGACGCTTAGTGCGTATGTAGCGTGCATCGACAATTGGTCGAAAGAGATCCTCGGCAGAGATGTAGACGAAAGGAGCGCCGCCACTAAGCTCGATTGAGGCGCAAGTCAAGGGATCCGACATGTCGAGTTCTTTTGACGGACCGGTATTGCTGGAAAGGCCACGTTCTCGCAAGGACGTCAGGAAAGTATGCGCCACTGCAATAGCACTGTCCCGATTCATCCGTTCGTAGTTCATGCGTCCGCGCTGTCTCGAGACCTGGCCTGGGCTGGTGTGGTCGGGGCCCATGCCGCTGCCGCCGGCATACTTGTCATCGTGTAGCGGATTGCTTGAGTGGCTGCTGCCGGGAAATCGCAAGCCCCATCCCTTGGCCACACCGGAGAGAGCATTGCGCAGCTGACCGCGGCCGTCTTTGGGCTTGTAGTCACTCTCGAGGAGGATGCCGACGGTGTGTACCGCAGCTGTTGAGCGGTCTGCCAGATGACGATAGGTCGGCGGATCGAGTGCATCGGCAGAGTGCCATTCAATGTCGGGACTGGAGGACCAGGCTGGACGGTGTCCGGCCGGTGTATGATACGGCGTGCCAGATGGAGAGATCGACAAAACCTTCCAGCCTTTGGAAAGCGCAGCTTTCGAGATGGCTGAGCCGAGGAAGCCGGCGCCGCCCACGACTAGGATTGTCGGCTGCGGCATGCTGGACTCTTTGGCCTGCCCGCGGCTGCAGTGCCAAGTAGCTCAGCTGTCGTTTGAACAAGTAGTCAGCTTGAACAATCGTTTAAGCAGAAAGGGGAAGTGAACGACGATATCTTGACAGAGGTGAGACAGACGTCCATCATGAGCTCGACACCCGAGCAAGCCTAGAGCTTGTTTCGTGTCGATATTGGGGTCGGAGGTTTGCATAAAGGTGGACAGCAGGCGTACAGTAGTCAGCATCACGTAAATTGAAATATCCGGATCGCATATTTGGACTCTTAGCAAAGCCTGCACAGCCTTAGCCAAGCAAGCAGCGAAATGCGCTGTCATGCGATGCAGCTGTAAGATTATCGATATTATCGAGGCTTTGCGCTACTTGCTGGCCTCGTGTCTGTGCCTGACCCTGACTGACACCATAAGACGGTGCGTGCCAAAGTATGGTAGAAAATATCACATGTTGTGCAGCTACCGTTTTTACAGTACAGTCACAGTGACCGTCACAGTCACAGTCACCGTCACAGTCACAGTCCCCTTAACAGGTACCCAAGAATAGCTCGTGACCAGTCACAATCACACTAGTAGTACCACATACAGTAATACTGTAGTCGTTGGGCGCAGTGGACCCTGCATGTCTACAGTCAGATTTGCAGCTCAGCCTTCATTCACGCCTCATATAAATCGATCGCGCGCCTCCCTTGTACGGCATCTTATTTCCGTCTCTCTACCTGCTCTTACGTTGTCGTGTCCAGATAGCCCGTCGCAGACTGTTGCTGGAAAAGCTTTTGCGTTATACAGTACTGTAGGAAGTGGAAGAGAGAGAGAGAGAGAGAGATAAAAAAAGGGAGAAAGGGAAGAAGAAGAAGATGGCGATGCAGTTGCGCACGAAGTGTGGCTACGGCGTTGCAGTCATCTGTCTTGTCATACACACTCGACGATTAAGGTGACTTGATACAGCACACAGCGAGAAGGACTGTACGCACTCAGTAATTATATTTTGACAGGGTACAGTACTGTACTGCACTGTACTGTCATCATGCCAACAACGCGTGTGAGAGACTGTCAAAGACCCTTGCTCGCGTTGCGGTGCAAGCTATGCCAGCTGCAGACGCCGTCATCGAAAGCACATTTCCACTGGCTCTGCTGTAGCCGTCATTGACTGTCATTGACAGCCTGCACGTACAGTAAAACAGCTGAGACCCATCCATCGGGGCTCGCTTGCACGCTATATACGGTACAGTACTGGTATACATACTGCAGCACTCGTGCTTCCAACACTCGCAATACGACCTGTGGCCTCCTCCTGTGTTTCATCCCAACTTACTCGCTAGTCGCCTCTCATGACATCTGTCTTCGCTAGTTCCTGTCGCCTCATCGCCGCGTTTATGCGTCCTCTAGCCCTTTTTCCTTGCCAGACAGTGGCGACACCCCCCCCCCCCCCCCCCCCCCCCTTTCCCCCGGCCACGGTACTGTCCCGGCTCCATTTGACCTAGTGACACGAGAAAGGCCCCTCCCCTTGTGCGACCACGTCTATCTTCTCGCACCTTGCTAACAGTTGCGCGCAAGCTTCCCCCTTTCGCCGCCCGCCGTCCTTCTACGGCTAAAGTGAACCTGTCCAACATTCGACGGGCAGATCATACTCACGCGGCCCTCGCTTGACAACCAGTGTTCCAGCCTGGCTAGAATAGGAGGCGCTCTGCCGCACCACAGCCTTGCCTGACCCGAGACCGTCCGCTGTCGGCTGCCGTGGAGACATACAGTACCACCCCCCCAAAAGCAAGACTGTCACTTGCCATTTCGCTGGTTCCTCTCAGACTTTCTTTGCACAGTCTATCTACGTCTACTCATCCTCGTCTCCTTCTCGCACTTTGCCCCCATATCAATCTCACCGCCTATCTTGTGCGATGCGTGGCCCTGCTTTACCCTCTCACCTTGGCCGGTCGTCTTCTTCGTCCTCTCCTTCTCCTCCTTCTTCTGCGAACATTGATCCGCAAGCAGCGCCACTGCGATCTGCCGTACCACCGACGAGCTATCGGGCGCACGGCTCGACACCAAGGAGCTCGGTCTCGCAACCTCGCCAGCAGTCCAAGGCACGCTCGTCTTACTCTCAATATCACGACGAGCAGGACAGCACTTCGACCGACGACTTCCTCCTCGACGACGACGAAGACGTAGACGACCATTACGATAGAGACAGCGGATCACGAAGACCCTTTCTTCCCAAGCGCTCTATTTCATCCTCATCTTCTGGTCGCCATAGACGACCGTCTTCGAAGCGCAGCAACTCGATCAAGATGCAGCGCTCCAGCCGCACCGATGTTCGCGAGGCATTCATGGACGACGAGACCATTAAGACATCTGCTGTTGGCGACGATCATGTGCGACTGTCCACCTCTTCTCCTACTGACTCTCCAGCGCGATCGGGGCACGGCTGTCGCGGTGGTGGTGAGGGGACCAAGAGCCCGCAGTCGCTCACCTTTGACGACGTGTTTGATCCGACAAAGACGCTGCACGAGAACAAGAGCATGATGATCTCCGCTGAACTTGACCGCATGGGCATGGGCAAGTACCAGATCTGCATCTGGTTCCTCTGTGGCTGCGGCTACTTTATCGACCTGCTCTGGGCCCAGGCGCTCGGTCTAATCGTCACGCAAGTTGCCTTCGAGTTTGACGATGAAA